CTAATCCCTTTTCCAAGGTACAACTTGAGTGAAATGATCTTTTTAAGGAAAAAAAGTGTCAGTGTCCTCAGATATTCTTCACTTGCAGTATCTATAAATTTCATTCACTGGAGAAACTTTTTTTGCAATGAGTTTATAAACTTCGCATAATCTCATCACTACTGACACATTTACCCAAACTCACTATTACCGAAATTATCCTCATGTCCCTCATTACACAAGAATAATCAAGGTTATATGCTACTGGAAATAAAGTGTTTAGATAGCAATAATGTGTGTATACATTTGTCTTAATTTAATAACAGCATTTTATTACAAAGAAAAATACAATCAGGTGAAGGTACAAAAGTTAAGAAAAATTTATTAGTGTTAATTAATGCTTGAAGGTAGAATTATGCTTCTTTCAATTGGACCCATTAAAGGGGCTTTAATATAGATTTGCACAGCAAGCTCAAGATTTTAAAATGCAGATAATGAGGCAAGCTAGTACTATTTTAACCCCTCTGGAGTATGGGGTTGATAAGGTTTTGAAACGTTACAAGGTCTAGGACAAAAAGATTAGCTTTAGTTCCTCCAGATCAAAAATGAAACCTAATTAATTAACAAAGTTATAGAAGACAGAAAATGTTTACTGCTATTTTTACACATCTTTAATTTCATCTAAGGAAAACGGGATATTTTAATTCATCTATTGCATGGATGGCAGAAGACTCAGTTCCCTGTTCCCACATTATCCTCTAAACTAATTGTTTAAATTCAAAAATTTTAATGCATTCTTCCAAAAACCTCACCTTGTTTTAAAAGAAAAAAAAAAAGCACCAGTGACATATTTGAGACATACACAAATATTATAAATTAAATACACCAGGTAAGAAATGTTTCCAAAGAAAAGGGAGAATGAAAAAAGATATCTGCAGCAGTCAGCCTTCAGAAGAATAATAATTAAAATTCTTGGATAGTGAGTTACCCACTTAAAGGCAACAGTTAGAAATCGTTTTCCTTGAAACGCACAGATATATGGCAAGGGTACGTAACTACTGAGAAAAGAGTTTTGAGCCACTGTGTAAAACAAAAATTACAGTAATAAGATCAGTATAGCAATCTAGCTGCCAACCTTTAAGAAGTAAGATTTTTACCACACAGCATTTAGAATAAATATGTATATGCCAGACGAGGCACAGCTGTGACTACCAAGACCAAAAGTTACCAATTACAAAGACAAGATTATAAAAAAGAAGGAACAAAGGGAAAAATACAATGGAAAACTCCAATACAATATATTTTGTACTGAATGTATGTGCACTAATAGATGAAAAATAACTTAAGCACTTCAATAAAAACTCTATTTATTTGAACGGTACATTTTGAAATGCTCCACATTATTTCATATTTAAAATGTTTAATAATATGCATGTACTGTATTCCAAAGATATTAAGACAGCAGAAGTTTTGCAAAACTGTGATTTACATGATTTTTACCCCTAAAGCCACAAGTCCCACTCTCATGAATATTTGAGCACCTTTTTTTCCCATTTAGGTTATAAAAAAGTGATTAAATACCATCTTCGCAGTCATAAGTTTCTAAATTAATTATTTTACTTGATCGTCAGTAATATCCATTAAAATGGAAACCCTTCGAACAGTTGAAATATCTCATTGCAAATAAGGCTAATTTAGCTCTCAGTATTAAATAACTACATGCATCTCACCTAGGGTCTGGAGAATATGCTTTCTTATTTACAGTAATTTTAAAAGGGCTCTTAGGCATGTCAGCACAAAGTCTAAGCAGAATACAAGAGAGGAAAGATTATCTCATGTTCTCCTTCTAGGGTTTTGTTGTTGTTTCTGGCAGCAATATCAGCTTACATACATGTTGAATTATGAGATACATCATTTATTTGCCTTTTTTCCCCTTACTCAGCATGGATTCATACAATCAGCTGTTTGGTGGCGACTCAGAAATTCCTAGTAAATAAATACCCTATGACAAATTATATTGTTGCAACTGGTATATCTGTATGATGCGTAAAGGGGAAGGGAAAAACAGCAGAAGAATGACTGGATAATCTCACCTTCCTAGACATAACAGATTGGTAGAATGCAATACACAGCCTTGAAGACTTGCTGTCTACAGTTTACAGAAAAGAACATTCATTGTCATTACTGTCAAAACTCACAGTTCCATAAGCAGCCTACTTGCATGTTAATTACACAAACAGTATTTTTTTCCTTAGATGAACAAAGAAAGAACAAAGAATTAAAAAAAAAAAAACAAAATAAATGAGAATGCTCCTTAGTACATTTTTCTCTATGCCAGCTCCAGACTTTGATTACCAAACCACCAAAACCACTCCAAAAACTCAGAAACTGATCCCCCTGTTGTTTCAATCCTGTGGCATCCCAGCCAATGGATGAGGCAAGAAGGTCAGAATGACACCACCTTTGTACACAGCTTTTATATACAGCACTGGCCATTGGCACCATCTGGTGCCCTTCACAAGCCCTCCCAAGTTAATGATACTCTAAGGGAAGCTATTTGAAAGGGCTGTATTACAACATGCATTAAACTTGTGACGATCATCAGAAAAGCAGCTTCCATCCTCCTCATCTGTTAACTCCTCCCATCATTTTCCAAAGCTTCCTTTTATTTTACAAAGCCTCCTTTTCCCGGCTGCCACTTTTTCTTGGTTCTAGTTACATTTTCAGCTTCTCTCTACTTCCCAATGGTAACTGCATCACACTATCAGTTTCAGATTTCGATCAATTTCAATTTCAGCTTCTGAAACTGATCTGAAACCACAGACAGCAATCCCATGAAGATGTACACCACAGGTTCAGAAGCTGCCACAGCAGGCAGCCCTTCTTAAAAGCACATCACCACACACAAATCCTTATAAACTTCTTACACAGGTATTCTCTCTTTCACTTAAGGATAGGGTAGAAATGCAGGAATAATCATGCATGGCTGGTTTATAAAAACGTAGGTGTATCAGGTTTATTTTGAACAAGCCAGAAGTAGGTAAACTCTGGAAACCTACCTCAGTTTACACCACTGGCTACAAAACTTACCTCAACTAAGCAAGACCCTAGTAAGGGCCATCAGAAATGTAAGAAAATTCACTAATTATCTGCATTATTAGGCAGAGCAAATCCTTAGCAAGTTTGCTGATGACAACTGGGAAGAGTGGCTGATATGCCAGGGGGTTGTGCTGCTATTCAGCAGCTGGACACGCTGGAGAAATGACCTGAAAGGAACCTCATGAAATTCAACAAGTGGAAATGAGAAGTCCTGCACCCTGGGAGGAACAACCCCATGCAACCTTGTATGCTGGGGTCCGTGCATCAATATAGTACCACTGTGACAAAGATGGCAAATAGCATCCTGGGCTGCATTAGGCAAAGTATTGCCAGCAGGTCAAGGGAGGTGATCCTTGCCCTCTCCTTAGCACTGGTGAGGCCACACCTGGAGTCCTGTGTCCAGTTCTGGGCTCCATAGTACAAAAGAGAGATGGAGCTACTGGAATGAGACCAGCAAGGGGCCAGGAAGACGATTTAGATGCTGAAGCAACTCTCCTATAAGGAAAGGCTGAGAGAGCTGGGACTCTTCAGGCAGGAGAAGAAAAAGCTCAGGGGGAATCTCATCAATGTGTAAATACATTAAGGGAGGGTGCAGAGAGGACGGAGCCAGGCTCTCCGCAGTGGTTCCCAGTGACAGGACAAGAGGCAGTGGGCACAAAGTCAAACACAGGAGGTTCCCTCTGAACATCAGGAAACTCTTCTTCACTGTGAGGGTGACTGAGCACTGGCACAGGCTGCCCAGAGAGGCTGTGGAGTCTCCATCCTTGGAGATATTCAGAAGCCACCTGGACATGGTCCTGGGCAACTGGCTCTAGGTGACCCTGCTTGAGCAGGGGTGGTGAACCAGACAACCTCCAAACTCAACCATTCTGTGATTCTATGAAAAACTACATATCAATCAGCCTTTTATCCCCAAGAATTGCAAGATTCAGACATCTGAAAGCACACCCAATTTGTGGTTTTGGTATCAGTTTTATTATCTGTGAAGTAATTGTAATTCTTTTTCTCTCTCTCCATATCACACTTGGTCTGATTATGACTTTTTTCTTATTAACATTCTTAATAATATGGAAAAGCACATTCTGTTCTCTTCATAGTCTTGAGAAGGTAGTCATTTGAGATTCACGGAGAAAAGGAAGGTGCAACGTTTATTGTTTTCTTGTGTTTATTTAGTATTTGTTAGTGTTGTATTTCATAAGTATCATATTTCAAATACTATGAAGTAATCAAAGACTTTTCAAATAATTATTTTGATTTTTAGAAAAATGTGCTCATATTTCCTCAATTTCACCCACGGCTTGGCTCAATACATGGTCTTCATTTAAAATTTTTTTTACTGATACACAGCACTCAGTTTTGAATGAACAGTTCAACAGAGAATACACATGATGTAAAACTTATGTATGACATTTTGGATTTGTCAGTATTGTTTTACAGTTTATGCTAACAGTTAACTTAATAAATATTTTTATAGTTTAGTAACAGTAAAATACATAGCTGTATTGCTTTTAGGATACTACATGTTTAGTCCTCATTACTCTAGAAATATCTTATTTTTATATTTGTCAGGATGGCAAATCCTTCCAAACCACAGGCACTTTACAAACCTAAACATAGCCAGAACTCTTCTAGATTAAAATCCAAGTTTAGATTAGTCAATTAGGCAAAATAAGGCAAAGAGTCGATAAAACTTTTCAGAAGAAGTTTCATCTAAAATCATATGGGACTTTTTAGGTGAAACATCAACTGTTTGAACAGCTTAGAAGAGTTTAATTATTACTTTATCAGAAGGTTATAATCTCTGAATCACCTGCAAATTTCACCTTAAGACAACAGCAAACTATTTTCACATCTTAGGTAAAATAAATTTGGTATCAATGACAGAAGTTTTCCTAACTGGTCTATTTAAACATAATACAAACCTGCTCTAGGGTTTCTATTTTGCTGTCTTTGGCTTGCAAAATCTCTAAAACCCTTCTGTCCTTGACTTCAGCTTTCTGCTTTTCTCTGGAAACAAACAAAAAAATAGACACTTTATTAGTCATAATTTGCAGTTAATCATTTAAATTTTTCATGTCCCGATAATGAATGTCATTTTAAAGCACAGAAAATTAAATTATCTGAAGCTGACAGGCCTTGCAGAATTAATCAGGGAGCATATGGCAAGTGACAGCAAACTACATCTGTAAACAGCTAACACAACTTTGCTCAAAAAGAAACAGAAGCAAAAGGTCTTAAAATACTTTTTTAAGCAGCTGAAATAATCTGTCTCAATCTTTCCCAAACGCATGAAGTGTACTTGTCCATAGATGGAACAAAACGCTTTTTTCCCTTCTTGGCAATGTAGAGCCACCAAGCTGCTTGGGTTTGTGAAGTCCTTCTCTCAGCTACATGGCATTTCTATGTCTGAAAACACTTTTGAACATCATGGATAACTATTTTACTATCTTTCACATGGACAGAACCTGTAACTTCTACCAGGGAAAAAAAGACAGCTCAAAAGCTTGGGTAAGGGAGACAAGCAGACCCTCTCTATGTGGTTAATAAGCGCAGGGCTGGCTATAATCAGCTCTGCAATACTTTGTAGAAAAACAGCTGATGAGTCATTAACACTTTGTTTAACAAACCACCTCACCTCACTGCTATCCTACTCCTTGACTCAAGTTTTAAATGTTGATGCCCTTACTGGCTTCTGGTTTAGGCAGAAAGAAAACAAATGTTGCAATAGTAAGGATACACAGAGATTCCACAGCACAAGACAGAGTTCCTACCATAGATCTGCGACAAAAGGTCTGAGAAACATTTATTCCCTAAAAATGGCCAAATACTTCAGGCATCCCCAGCACCACAGGTGACAGAGAAGCAGAAACTCATTCAGATTATCCCTGCTCTCGCAATACAGTTAAACTTCCACCATGGGTGGATATAAGCCACCCCTAGAAGCCAGAGAATCCTACTTGTGCAACTTTTGCTCTACCAAAATAGGAATGTTTCAGAGGTGGAAGGGAATGGAAGAGTGGTACTCATGAGTCTGTAAATCTGATCAAAAGTGGATGAGAATATCCAGCTATGTACAAAAGGCTTCATCTGGTGAAGCATTTTGTAAGACAGACTAGTAAGGATAGTAGATATATAGACAAGTATTTTTCTCTGCTATTACATATTACTGCATCTTCCACTGTTATTGGTGATTTTAAAGGCTAAATTACACTGTCCCCACAGGCCATCCAATAACATGTTTTTTAAATCAAGTTCTATGACTGCTAAAATATCTAGTCTGATCTTGAATAAGTAAAGAATTAAATAAAAGTGGTATGGAATTTAAAGCAATGCTTTTGGAACCCAAGATCTCAAGGCATCATAACTGTAAGTAGCGCTCTCCTACTACAGATACAGCAGCACTGGAAGAAAACTAAGAAAAGCCTAGCTGAAAAGATATGCATTTAAATTACATTTAGCTAGGAGAAACAAAAATATATGGGATCTTAAGCAGTTGTATGGCATTAAAAAAAATCTACTTCCACAAAGAAAATAATTCAGGAGCTGTAAAGATCAGAGAAAAGTGAAACCATGAATATTCAACAAGTATTCCAAAAGACATTTCATGTCTGAAAGGTATTTAACATTTTAACTGAGACAGAAACTTAACAGAAAAATGCACATCAGATCCTGAACTCAAAGCATCTGATCACCTGCAATCAGAAGCATCAAGGAATTGTCATGACAGGTTGCTAGGAAGACATGAACAGTGAAATACATAGTACAGCCAGTTTTTCACAGCTTCTCTTTAAACATCTACTAAAACTGAACTAAGTAGACTGTAACTACAGACATCCATGCAAATATGAAGTTATCTGGTGTATTCCAAAGGTTACGCTGTGATGTCCTTTAAAAACACCTAAGGGCAAAACAGGAGGCACAAGAGAGAAAAAAAACATACATGACAGTTAATGAAACTGACCCACCCTGCTTATAATGTGCAACTAGCTTAGAAAAACCACATTCTCAGTCACGTTTTAAAAAAATGCTAAAAGACTTCCTGATAAGCTTATAAAATTTTGTAATAAAAGACATTAGACAACTTTAAAAATTAGGTGTTAGTAAGGAAAAATATTTGTAAATAGATTATTTGTACAATACTTATCACAGAAGTTTGTGCGTATTCCTTAAACAGGCATACTGTTTGTGATAGGTAGTGTATGTTATTGCACAACTTAAATGAACAAAAAACTGCTCCAGTATAAAAATACCAATGTTTCTTCATACTTAATTACTTTGCTGAAGGGTCCTTAATGGCCATCAACAATTACCCTTTTTCCAAGATAATAGCTAGAGTACAGAAACCCCAAATATTTTGGGAAGAAGGTATCTCTCTCCCATAAGCACATTACACCATAATCTATCTGAGGAAGTGATGGACCTATATTAATCTATGTCTAAACTGTAAGTATTATAGCAGTCCAAGTTTCCTCAGGTCTTAATTACAGCTAGACAACCTATGAATTTAAGATTAGACACATATATAACCGCTTGATCCAAAATTTTAAGAGCTTCAGAAGACAAAAAGCAAAGCAGGTCTTGACTACAAAGGACTTAGAATAGTAATGTGCAGACACAGAAAGAAACATACAATAAAATACATACACACATAAGCCCCCTGAACCACTGATTAGCATTGCCTCTGGCCCTCAAAAGTATCCTGACCTTAACCGCTGGCTGACATGTCCTATGCATTCTTTGTTTCCACAGCGATGTATTTCCCTCTCCATTTTAATTCAAGTGTTTTTATTTTATATTTCTACTTAAGTTAAACCATTGATCTAACCACTCATCCTATATCTACCATTCACAATATGCCATTGTCTTCCCAACTCCTCTAACCACTATCTCCTCTCACAAAGTCAGCCTTTTTAAAAAAGGGGCCCAACTGAACACAAATACTGGATAATTAAGCAGCCTATTAACTCAGCTATGCAATCATCACTTGAAAATGTATTAAACTTGTTTTCTAATGGATTAATTGACTGGAAAACCTGATGGGTCAGGTAGATTTCCCAAAGCAAGGCTCAAAAGAGTTCTACAGTTCGGGGGGGGGGGGGGGGGGGGGGGGGGGGGGTTTTTTTTTTTTTTTTT